AGGCCATTTGACTTCCTTTTCTGTTCGTACTCTAGTGGTCCTTATGATTTTAGGAAATATAACTGCCAAGCTAACTCCTCTGTGGTTATCACAAGGACTTAATTCGAAGTCATTTTTAGCTTCCATGCTTCAGCTAAAATTTTGGTTCACTTACTAATCTTGGTATCAAGTAATTAACTAACTTTAGATCCCGTCAATGCTCGTTGTGGTGGAAGTTACTGTGTCTATATTCCGTTCATTCTGCTTCAGTTAAAAGGGAAGCTAAACAGCAGTTATCTTTTCATTACTTTTGGCTGTTATTGCTCGCCAAAGCCCTGAATCTTTCTGTTCACTCTTTATTAGTGAGTTACCAAATCCCTCTTATTAACCTTTATGCTCTTAGGCTGACATCGCGTTTGAGTAGATGTGTAAGGAGACTGGTTGTGCTCCCGATACGTCACACTGTACCAGCCTTAATAAACACACTGTATCTAACCAACCACTTAATCAGTACGCTACCTAACCCGCAATTGCTGATAACAAAATACAAATCAAAAGGAGTCAGTCATTTAGAAATATACCCTAATGAGCTACATATATTTAAATGGAACAAAATATTAAAGTTATTTGGAGGAAATATTTTAGAACTTATTTGGCTAGCGTAACTGAACTATGGATCCTGTGGGTGTGTTGCCAGCAAAAAGGAGTAGAGTGAAATGGCAGATGAGCCTGATCGAACCCAAAGGATCCATATGGTGGTTACACATTTTTTAGTTATTATTAAGTTAATTCATTTCGATCCCTTTATTTTAGATTTACTTTGCTGAGGTGCCATGAACTCCGAACACACTGTTAAAATACACTAAAATATTTGCACTATTCTTTTAGTACCAGAAGCACTGTTGCTTTTTTGACAGCGAACTGAAAATTATGACAGGCTCCTTCAAGGTGAATAACCTCTTTCTGCCAAGCATCCTACAACTTCCTGTGTGGAGTTTTGACATCTTAACTACCTCAAACCAAAAATTGTCTTTTATTTGCTATCATTTTGCTTTTATTTCGAACTCGCGTGTTGTTAGTATCCGAATAAGTGAGATGAAATGAGAGAGCCGCCCACCAAATTCATGGAAATTTAACTAGTTGATCCGATGGTTGTCATCCTTAGACTATTTCATTACGCCGTTGTAGGTGACTGTCACCGACTCGTTCGACTAGGATTCCAAAAGTATGGCCTTATGACCAGTGGACATATGTAAAGTGTCAACTAGATAACAATACGTTTCACTGATGACAATGAAATGTTACTTCATATAAGCTGGAAATCAACAAACCTTTCATAAGTATTCCATCTTAACTTAGGAGCCTTCAACATACAACAAAATACCGCAATTCCTACGTGTTAGACACATGAAAGCTTATACAAGCCTATGAATTTTGAATTCCACTGTCAATTCACTAAAAAACGAAAACATTCAATTTCAACAGTGATACTCTTCTTAATTATTCTGCATATAACGTTAGATCAAACCAACACTGAGTAATGATATAACAGTAAACTCCTATTTGATTCTCGCTTATTCATATGTGTAGAAGTCTTTTTCGACTGAAAAAAAGTAGTTTTGTCCAGCTCCCCTCTCAGAATCAAAATAACTTTTCCCCATATAATCAATTCAACTTCAGCAGCTTTTCTTAATCATTGCCTAATAATCTGCATGCACGATATCAAATCAATTTTGCAGCCAAGCATCAGTGTGATGCAAGTAAACAATTAAGTGCAAGTTAGTGCATTAAGTCATAAGGGGTAGAAGTTATATCCGGTCATAACACTCACGAAGTGACGTTAAAGTACAACTCGTTACCCACCGATTGAATGTCTGGTGTTTTCACTAATAGTGTATGTTCTTTTTCCTGTCAGTCAATATATCCCATAGCGTAAGAACCATCTTACTGTTAGATTACAAGGTAACTTCTCCGTTATATCTTTCTGTTTAGGTTCTTCAATTTATCGATGAACCTGATAATCTTTATTCAAATATTTAGTTACCTGTTCAATCAGGAAGTAATAATGGGATGAGACGAGGATATGCCACCCAAATACATAAGCAACCAGTGGATACTATTCATAGATTGGTTCCAAGTAAGCTGTTTTTACACCCACGTACTTCTTTTATCCAACTTGGGTGACTCAGAGAACAGCCTCTTTAACTAGAATGTGGATATGACATATAACGGACACAACTTGCGAGAAACAAAGGTTAGAAGAAATGAACATTGAAGGGCGTGTATTCGACTACCAAAAAAATCTAATGGAACTAGAAAAGCTTGGAAAACTGTCAATCACAGGTCTACACAATACAAAATCAGTGCATAAAGTTGGTTTTGATAATATTGAAATCAATCGGAAAATTTTCAGAAATCATAGTGAACTTTGATAAAGCTATTAGCATTAAATAGTGAAGAGTCAGTAAAAACAAAATCGTTTTGTTTTTCATTCATTGGGAAATACAAACATATTTTACGATAGTGAATATCATATATCCAGGGCCAAAGGTTCTTTTCAAACGACGTAATCTGAACTTGGTTTGGACACATATCATTTCAGTTTAGTTGTACATTGGCCTGTTACAAATTTCAGCGCGTGACTAGTGGCTTCAAATCTGTCGTACACTATTTTGGCATACAACTATCAAATGGGTCTACTAACTCTTTTTTTTAATTCTGAAAATCATTTGCAATAAAAAGTTTTGAATTCGATGAGATAATGTCTCTCGAGTGATTTTACCGCAAGATTTTGTTGCAAATCAGAGAATCAATTTCAAACTCTTGAGCTTGTCGAGTGTATTGGTCATTCTTTCTGTTGCCGTGAGACACACTTCCTAGTTTAATAATATGTATCGTCTATAGTTAACACCCAGCATTCCTTCACCATTAGGTATTTATTGATCAAAAGATATATGATAGATAGTTAATTGTTGTTATTTCGAAAGCAAGGAAATCATCGTGCGGTTTTCCAACCCTTTGAGTTTAATAATAATAATAATAGGTTCGGTAAATAATGGTTCTATGCACGCGGTTGTTTAATCGTTATTATTTAATTTAATCATAATTTCAAGGTAGATTTCGTCACAAACCGACATCATTTTGGAGAAGCGCTAAAAATCTTGAAGCACTGGTCGGCTGTTTCGTCCTTGTTTCTGACTTTTTAACAATGCACAGTCACAACTCCACCACACAGGTTCGACTTAGGGTATTCATGTTAACAGAAGACCTCGCTGACCGTTTAGGTTCAGTAACTGATGGCGATTCTTGACGAAATCTGCCTTGAAATCCATCAAATCCTTCCAAGTCGACACTTAAATCCTAATTACAATTACTTGTTAGTTAGAAATTTCATCGTGACATGTAAGAATTATTTTTTTTGGCTGTGTATATAGGTGGGATACTAAGTAACTGTTAGTGTCAACATTAAGTAACAGTCTTCGTTTAACGTACAATCTAAACTAAGACATAGCCGACGGTATTTCCCAGCTGACATACCAGGTAAATGTGCACTTCAACGACAAAGAAATCCTCAAACATTTTGCCGTGGACTGCTCCAAGGAATATTTCAGCATACAGTTTTGTAGTTTTTTCATACAACGTATGTTAATTATTCTGGAGTATTGGTACGAAACGAATTCTCCGAAACAAATAGAGAACATTCCTGCTAAATCTTCACAAAGTCTGTGATAGAACCGATTTTTCAGGGAAATTTCATATCTGAAGTTAAATTCCTTAACCTTTTCATGCATCACAAACACAATTTCGAAGGTGTCTGGATTTGTAACTTATAATGATATCTGTAGTCAAAAATCAGGAAAAGTACAACTTGCCTTTGCATTTGAATTAACAGTTTTGAAATGTCAGACATTTACTATATCTCGCCTAACCCACTATGACATCTCGTTTGTCAATTCACACATCTCTTGTTCCATTTCGTTTTTTCAGTAGCATTATTAAATATTGGTTTTATATCTATGGGAATTATTAACCTCGCTTAACTCGTTGCAGTGATTTTATTCACTGAAAACGTATTCACAGTACCACTTAATAGACAATGTGCTAGATGAAGTTTAACGTAGAGAACATAATGTGTTGAAAGCCCTCTGTCCGAATAAATGTTTAGAATTTAATCAGAAACAAATATTGTCTGTTCATTTAGTTTTGGTGAAATGATGGAGGTAGAAATAGTAAGAATAACGGGGATGATAACTCAGTGTTACGTTAAGGAATGGAATAAGCAAAAAAATACACAAAATTTTCTTGTATGGAGGTTACTTCAACTAGAATATCATGGAAAGGCAATCAGTTTGATTGAAAACTATCATACGGGAGGAACTGTGCACTCTCTGATAACTAAAAGATCAAATATGAGAATACATATGGTTTTCTCCCTTAGATTCTCAAGACATTCATCGTTCAGTTTTCAACAGGCAATAAACCCAAGGTAGATAAGAAAGAATATTACTGTGCTGAAAACTCAACAGCTGTGATCCTCTTTTACTCTGACATCAAACAGGAGAGAAGTGGTATTGCTTGACCAACGTCAACATCAAATTAAAGATACGCACAAGCAAACCACTTTTCTATAAATTAAGAAAGACTTCTGATTGTTCTATGACACTTACATGGACTCTGATAGATAGTTGGTTAAATTAACCACTAAATCACGGCAACTAACTTCTTTTAAAGATACCACCATGAGAATGGATTTACTGGTTGTGCACCGAAAAGCTACACAATCACTAACAGTTGTATAGGTTAGCAAAACTCAAATAAATAAGGACAATCTTAGAGCCCTAGTCTTAGAAGTTACGAAGCTAGTGTATCACTCTAAATTTCTTCCGCCACGCTGTCTGCTCACGTTTTACAAAAAGCTTTAAAGAATTATTACCTATGAGGATTTTTAGATTTGTTAAAATACTATTGCAATTCAAGTGCGTAAGTAATGTGAAGCAAAAAGTTTTGGCCATAAGCTTGTCTGGATTGCCTTATTTACAAGCTTTTTTGAAGTGTAACCAATTCAATTGATGCACAGAACTACTTTCACAGTTCGATCAAATTAATGAATATAATTACCACCATTAAATCTGCTAATTGACAAAGTTTATTTCTTCAGATTCACTTGTCAGTTATTTTTAATTTTAATTAACCACCAATTATAAACATGTGATCAGTGTTGCAGTTTCAGTTTCATTGTGGTACCGATAACTTCAATAATTCAAAAGGAATCAATTGCACCAAGAATTATGGTGTATCAAATCATTAAGAATGAGATAAAAGAAGGAAAAGCTGTCAGAGATGCGTAATCTTAGAATAAACACCACGTGGCATTTCTAACGGGTTCTCTAACCAATCTTCTACTTTGTTCATTTAAAATTTTCAATGCAACATAAAAGCAAATGAATTCCACTTGGTTCAACCGCAGTCGATGACTTTATGATGTAGTAGCGTGAATAAACCAAACAATAAGCGAAATTTGTTGATTGGCCCTAATTTATTTTATCTCTAAATGTGATCATTTGCATTTTACAGTGTTATAATGCCATTCATTTTATGACGTCTGTTTTACTTTTTTGCCATAACACTGCTTTATTAACAAAGAGCATACATATTTATATGCGAAAAAGCAACTAGTGTAAACTACTTTCAGTTTATTATTTACATTGGTTTTTGTTTATTGTTTAGTACATTCGGTAACCATGTCGTCGTCTAGCAGTTTTTTCGTAATTCGGATTACGAATTTCTCCAAATTCACACTTGGCCGCATCAGGTAATGAACACGGAGGAACCCAGTTGTCGTTTTTGAGGCTAGCGAAGCATTTGATGACATCGGAGTCTTTATTCGCTATTTTCTAAAAGAATACGTCAGTATAGTACGACATGCAATCTAGCGTCGCTTACCTTCATCAGAGTAATTGAATCGTAAGGAGCGTTGAAATTAATAAGGAAATAGTGGCCTTCGTATTGCCGTTCACCTTGGACATGGAAAACATTCGGCAGTCGCCGCAGACCGAGATTTTCGACATTGAATAAGTGAGCACCATTCTCAAGCATTCCTTTAAGTTGTCTCTTCAGAGCTGCTTTTATGCCAGGCGTACCAAGAGCTTTAATAATCAGGGACATTTCATATCGTATCATAGTTGAAACCTGAAAAAATTATAAATTTCCATCTGAATTAATTAGGTAAATAGCTGTATATGAGACCTCAATATAAACCACTTCGATGTTAGCGATTATAACAGATCGAATTAGAAGGACGAATGACTTCATATTTTTTTATGCTTGCCCCGGTGAGAATGAGCATTGACCTTTTGTGTGTGGTTACCAATACTACTAACCTTTTTGGCTGAAGTTAGAACACAACTCCACTACCATGAATGCCATAAATTTTGTACGTAGGTTCTAATAGTCATTATGAACTCGGGACTTTAAAAAGTGCTAAAAGGTTTCACAAATTTTTGGTGTTAAGTCCCAGCTCTCTGTATCCCAGTTTTGCTTCGCACTTACTCCGAAACTGCGAAAATCCTGTTATATAATCCTCACTACTTTATGTTCTAGGAGGCTTGAAATAACCTCACATTTTATTCCCAAAATTTACGTCCATTGCCTTCCTGAATTAGACTCTTGATTGGTAACTCATCTAACACTTATTGTTCTTTGTACTATATATTGTTTCAGTACAAAGTTGACATAACACGGACACCAAGATATGTGCCACATGAACGGAATCTAGAAAATGTACTTGACGAGCCACATTTCGGGATCGCTGTACTGTTTTAAGCCTGTGTTTCTAACGGTAATCAACAAATAAGCATTCTTTTCAAGTACACGCAATAGAGTGCCTGTCACTATGCACTCGATTCGACATGAAGAGACATAGGGCGGTACGATCAGGCAAGTTTATCGTCGAATTTCTGAACACCTCGTATCTTGGTTTGGCAAAGGTCCGAATAAAGCTATACGCAGCTCAATACTAGCTCATCTCGTCGATACTGACTGGACATCAAGTCGACTCTAACAAAGCTTTCAAAGTTATTTGTCGTATATCACCCAACCTCCCGTATGGTCTACGAGTACGAATTTTACATACAGCAGAGACAACCAGAATTCATCTGAACAAGCCAAATCTGTGTGTTCAAAAGAAATTTGTACAGCCCCTTTCTTCGCCATAGCCAACTACATAATATTTATTAGTTCTTAAAAACGATTTTCCCTTCCCCTTGTAATCAACTAACTTTCTTTTGACTTTGTTAATTTTTACAAGTCTAGCTAATTCTATTAACTTGTTTATATTTTACGTAATTCTTCTAAGTCATCCTGTTCTTCTTAATCATCATTGCTATTTTACAAATTTCTTGATTATGTAATAACTTTTTGCCAACGCCTAAGAATCAACTTATCTTGAATTCCGTAATTAATTTGCACCCCTCTTTTAAAACTGAGATATCTTGTTACTAATATCTATTAGTTGATTGTTCTGATGACCTTTAACCTCTTAACTTCACCCCTGCCTACACCTAAAACTGATTAACTAAAATAACCACTTGATTGGTAAAAATTTTAATGTAAGAAACGATATATTAGAGTAGAACCGATGATGAGGAACTAACTGAAAAGGAACATATTTCTTTGTTCAATCTGTGGCTTTTTCTAAATGCGGTTTCGATACCCAGTCATCACTGACACCCTCTGTTGTTACTCAGTCACATATTGTCCTAAACCTTACCTATGGAATCATTGACAAACCAATCTTCTACGATTTTTTCTATGTACAGTAGACACAGTTGCATTACGCAGTGGCTACAACATAATCTTATAATTCAAAATTAAGTATATTAAAAAGTGAATCATATTTATTGTTTGCAATCGCCTATATGAGTAGTTGCTTCCACCATTGTAAGATATTATGAGACTCGGGGAGCTTGTATTTACTTTTGTAGACCGAGTTGCATATCAGTTACTGATGAACGACTAAGAAGTGCCCCGGTAAACAGATTAAATACACCTTATTAACCAGATATGGTCTGGCATTTTATTAATGTGAGACTTTACTCTTCTAGAAGAGAAAACATGTGAACATAAATAGTTAGCAGCTAGCATCACCAAACCTGAATTATTATAAGTGGACTTCAGTTAACACCCTTATAAACTTATGGAAAAAAATTGTTCAGCGAAATGAATGACTGACACTATAACCTGTGAGTGATCTTTAATTATTGGACTCATTTGTAATCTCTGACTTCTTTTTGCTTTTTGACTCTATCTCAGTTACACAGTAACTGATAATTATTCGGGTTAATGAAATGTAGTAGTCTTTTTCATCAAATAATGGCCATATCAGAAGTTCAGATATATCTCCATTTATTGAGCTTAGGTAGGAAAAGTTCTAAAAAAGTAGTTCCCTCCAGAAAAACATTGTGCCGTGTCAACTGCAGAATACTTACGAAGATTCCATAACACATACTGTCTGATAAATCATAGAAATTTGCCTGAAAGTGCATCATTTTAATTTATCATATTTCGAAACATCACAAATTAGAAAATAAAAAAAATACTTTGACATTATAATGGACTAGCACTTGAAACGACAGAGGCTTAATCAAAATAAGTGATAATATTTAGAATCTGACTTATGATAGGTGAATACATCGGCGCTACTGTCATGTCACCAAGCCACCACTCTTCGATTCTTAGCATCCGAAACAGTCCACAGGGGTGACTTACATATAACTATCTACCTCAGACTAATAGACAACGACTTAACAGATGTACACCATAACTTACTGACAGCAATTTATTGCCACCGAAAAGTTACGCAATAAACACTGCAGTACCACTATATCAAATAGACTTTTCCAATATGAGACTGTACTTTAACATACCATGGAAGGTTCTTGTGACTGTATTGCTACTTTTTTTCCAACGTGGGACAAGCTATCTATTCGAAAGACCATAGTGATTACCGAATGGCTTCCAATATGCTGATGTATGCACATTAATACATGTGTATGCATAACAGAATAAACATAACCACCCTATATTTTTGGAGTCTGCATGATAACTGATTACGAAAGTCAGAACCAAGAATATCAGACAGACACCACATCCTAGAATATGTATATAATTTCACTAAGAATAATTGTAACAATTCACAGAAATGTATGGGATAATCTGCTTAAAACTAGTAAGTAACCATTCCGAACTAATAAATCAATTGGTCTATGATAGAACATTAGCTGAACTTTAGGACCTTACAGATGGCAAATTAATACTACATCTATTCAATATATTACTGAAAGTACTGAAGTTTATCTGCCGAGGTGTCGTGCTTATCTTGGATTTGTGATAATCTACATATTAGTGACTGAATTCACTGTAGAAGTGGATATGTGAAACACATTCCAAGTGCCCTTTCTTCCTATACAAATGGCCTAAAGATAAGCGAAATCGCCTGATGTAATAACATGCGTACTAGGTTATCAGTTATTTTTCATCTCAGAGGGAAGTTTGCACTTGGGTTCCATTGCTGCAAAATTAGTATTTTAAGCCAATGACTCACACTTTTTTCAAAAATCTGAAAAGTCTTATTTCTGTATCCTTACCATCAATAATTACATCAAGTCTTCCAACTCCTCATGCAAGCCTTCTTTAAGTGCCAGAGTAGCTGCAGTTACTACTCACTGATCTACCTCCGGTTTATATGTATCGGTGCCACAGCGGTAGGATGCCCACCAATCGTGCATGGGCCAAGTTAAACTTTAAGCACCAGTAAGTACCAGTGAAGTGCGACCGCGACAATGACCTTGAAACGCTCACTGAGTAAGTTAATGGAAAATGACAAATGACATTGTGATCATGAATATAATATGCTCAATGAAGTGTTTTGGGTGACTCGAAACTATACCAGCCCTAAACGCAACCACCTAGTAAAGACCTCTGGCGACCAATCAGATGATATTAAATGGGCACTAGTTACTAGTGTCCAATTAAAGTATACAATACAGTCCTACAGGTCAGTCGCGAACCCGAATAGCTCAGTGGTAATGTCTCTGACTGCAGCACTGGTTGAAATGGATTCGAATCCCAGAAGGGACATCAGTTCCTTAAACGTCGCAGATACGCCTTGCTGACGAGTGCCAACTAGTACGAAACCTAGGTCCAAGGCCTCCTGCCGATTGCCTCTAACCATCTAATATCGTCAAATCAATGTACATTATGATGGCGCGCTACCTAGACTGGTGGCCGCATTGTAAACCTGACTGATCGAATTCAGCCTGCACCAAAGAAAGGACTAGATACATAACACTAGTTACCAGTTATATGCGTCAGAAGTAGAAGTGCATAATTTGAAATAAACGTCTTTTCACAAGTAATGCAATGTTAAGAAAACGTTGCATAGAGAAAAATTCCAAGAAAACCTCCCAATTTCCCACAAGACTTCTCATAGTCAAGTTAAACCGATTTCTTTTTTATTTTTCATTTTATTTTGATTACAGCTTGATTCCACACCGTATTTTCAGTACAAGTATGGAATTTTCAGCATGGATATCGGTAGCCCAAATTTACAGGCCGTCCATAGATATCGGGTATGCGCCGGCAGGGGATCGAACCCCGGACCATGTGCATGGTCGGCGAGAGTCCTAACCACTGTGCCACCGACGCACATAAATTCGTCAAGGTCACCAATCTGTTCATTAGGCAGTTTCGTTTTGGGCTGCTTTAGTTTACAGTCAACGGGATATTTTCGGCTCCATGTCTCCTAATCCATTCTTTTGGAGAAGTTAAAGTATTATAATTAGAGCCAATGTCTTTCAAAAGTTAACCTTCAAGAAGCAGTCAGATATAGGGAATGCTATGAAATGTCATTGTAATTTAAACCAAGCCTGTCTCTTTGGATTTGGAGGAGGGAGATACAGTATTCCATTAACTCCCTAGGTACTTCTGTAAACCTATACTGTTAGGCAGGGTTATGGATTTTTAGATTAAGGTTTACTAACGCAAATGGTATAGGGTTAAAGTTCAGCCTAGGAGTTAGGATAATGGTTAGAGATAGGAGTAGGGCTTAAAAACATGTCAGAAATATTAGTACACCTCAAATTACCATGAACTACGTAGGTCCGCCTTTCCCCAAGAATGCCCCCTTTTTGTTTGCAACATTGTCCGATCGGGACAATCACCTGGCAGAATGCATCTATTATGCATAGTATTATTTCCCTATAGATCATCTGTGCATTGACAGGCAGACATTTTTACAACACATAAGCGACAACTATACAGTATAATACTAAGTTCGCAACATGTTTCATTGAAATTTATAACCTTCACACTTGAAGTCTCATTGGCTGTTCAAGTTTACTATGGTTTCGGCTATGACAGTTTAACGAATATAAGTATTTTAAATGCGAAAATCGCCTTTATCATGTGGTTGTTGCGTTTCCATTGATAATTACTGGTGTTTAAATTCTAAATGTGCTGTGGTAAGGTTGGGCTTGGCACTAACAACCCCACACACTGAAAGTAAACACCACTGCTACTGATACTCCAAGGCCCTAACCTGTAGCCCTATGTCCCACTAGGGATGTAAAAGAATAAAATGATATGAACACACAAACCCTCGATATATATATACATATGCTCACCTTGACCTTGACACCTGACACATTGAAATTCCCCCCAAGCTTTCAGTATTCAATACTGTGAAGATCACAGTCGAAACCTTCACTTTTCAGCATCATCGGTTCATATAATTCAGTTTACTTATGAACCATATCTATATTCCTGATTTTGTATTGATCAAACGGGACATTTTTTGGCCTTTATATTAGAAAAGTTTAAACGGATTAGTTTTTAAAATCGGACTAACAAGTAAGGATTACGGAAATTCCATAGTTGGTGTGTTTGATATAATTCCGCATGGGTCACATGGGTCAAGTATATATATTCGCTTAAAATACGTATGATGGATGATGCCATTTAAATCTGGACTAAAAGTGGGCAGAATAATTGGATGACGTAACATAAATTACTAGAAATTGAGCGCTGGTCAAGTGAGTAACAGTGGTAATGAAGTGTAGAAATTAAATCGGGTCGGAGTAGAAAACAGGAAGTTGAAAATGGAAGACATTGCAATAGTTAAGACGAAATAATACAAGTGAAGAGACAGAAAGAAATCTGTCTAATTAACCTCATGTACTCGTACACACACAAAACAATTATAAATAAATGCGATTGTACAGCTATGTGATTCAATTCGCCGAAAGGAGCCTATTCGCTGAATGTCTTCTATTTTTCATATGACTCAGCGGGGATTTTTATGTGATCTAACATAACGGGTTTCAGTGATGAGATTTTATGAGCTGTTCAGTTGATTCGTAACTGCCATAACTCTGCTGGGTGCAATACATGGAGGAGTTTGCGTCTGTTTCAAGATCTTTGATTTATTCGAAGGGAGTTTCAATGTTCGCACTCATTTTATAGTCACACAATTCCCAAAATCACGCTCTAAATTATTAGAAAGTGAGAATAATGGAAGCGAATAAGAGTAAGAAGGAAAACAACCAAACATAAGATACAAATGAAAGATTATGTGCAAAACGGTGAAAGAGTATTCCATAAGTAATACACCCTCAGAAATATAAACTGGGTCTCACTTGTGTTAATGCTCCGTAACATAAGACTTCACTTGGTTTTCGTACAGTCGTAGTGACTACTTAGTAGCAGGTATGTAATAAGATATTTTGAGCTGCTCATTATTTTACTGGTTGTCTCAGATCACGTCTGGTTCTGTTCTAACTTAAAACCAGCAATAATACATGGATTCTTGTGTGTGGGCACATACCGACTGCACAAGCATGGACATGTTAATGTTTGAAGCACATAAATTCAGTTTATGTAGGATTCATACTGCTGCTAGTTTTTGAACATTAGGATCGACTCGAACTGCTTGATAAATAATTGGTGAACGTAGTGAAATAGAAACTATGGTATTTATTCGCATTAACAGAATCTCTAGTCTGTGAAAGATAGATTGCAGACACCAGGAAAAAAGACTTGCAGTAGATTCTTCTGTATAAATTTGCTTTGCAAGAACTAACATGTTATTCTTGTTAGGTTTTCTGAGGTATGTCACCAGTTCCAACGAATAGAAGCAAGCATTGGCGAATTCATCACTCGAAGGACTGCCCAGGCATATTCATTTATCACACTCATGAAGTGTAATCTCGGCGGACCTAGAAGCAGAGAATATAAGTGTTTTACAACCTTATGGGCTTCAGCTGACATGGTAAGATTAAGGAAGCCCTGCTGACCGATTTCAAATGAACGAATTCCTGACAGAGAAATTAGTTTGCGGATTTCGACTACTGAGTGCTCAAACAATGAAGCAGCCGTCAACAGTCTGGTATAGCAATTTCAACAGGAAAGGTTAGCAGTGAACTGAGTTGACGAACGGCATTATTGCCTTTCCTTGTATAATAGTGGGTGAACAACCTTGACCATTTCCATATTGATAAGCTACGTATTTTCGGCAGTTTCATGTTGGGGTGATTCAAGGTAACGACTCTTTAACTGACACCATTGCCCCCAAGTGAATTCGATGGAAAAGTCTAACCGTAGCCTTGGAAAGATGAGCGAGACGAATAGACATTCTTAGGGAACTTATCTGTAGGGACAGGTTGATGTAGGGCCTCTAAAACACATTATTCCATCACGGCTCAGATGTAGATAGTTGGTAAGGAATTCAGAAGGATAGGACGATCAACCAACTGAGAACTATATCTTCTCCATGGTTTCGGAGGCTTTATGTTTATAAAGTGACGAATGTCTCCCTGTCCATTTGTCTATGTCTTCTCTGCCTTACTTCCCCTCTGCCACGTTGTGGAAAGCAAGGGTTTCAAAATACCACTAATTTTACACAGTAAACATGCTGTCGGTCGGTAATTTGGGCAGTTATTTCGGCAGAAAAGCAGTTTCGTAATTGAGAAACTCAAGTGTGTATACTATCCTTAACAAGTATTACTATTATTTCCTTTAATTCCTAGAAGAACATAGGGCTTCAGTCGCGCGTCTCCACTGCGTTCGGTTCTCTTCCAACGTTTTCACCTGGCTCCAAGTCTGCCCACACGCTTTCATCTCCTCTTCACATGACCTTCTCCAAGTCACCCTTGCACTGACGACCAACTCGCCGCTTCCCTTTCGGTTTCCACTCAAGCAATGGCTTGTCTAGTGTCGTCACTTGACGGTTTCCTCAGAGTATGGCCAATCCATCTCCATTTCCTTCTGCATATTTGTTTCATAATCGGTTCCTGGTTAATTCGCTCCCAGAGACCCCTGTTGCTGATCTTTTCTGGCGTGCCATCTGATCTTGAGTATTGAGCGAAGACAGCTATTAATGAAGGTCTGTAGTTTGTTTGAGATGCTCTTTATGACGCGCAGTGCAAGTCTCTAATCCGTATGGTGAGTAGCATTGACTTCACATTGGAGTTGAAAATCCGGATCTTATTTTTGATGCTGAGTGTTGTTGACCTCCACACAGACTTGAGAGTGGTGAAAGCTTGTCTTGCTTTGATATCCTCGTCAGTTCCGCCTGTAGTTGAAACGATGCTTCCCAGGTAGGTGAAGGAGGTTGTTTCTCTCAGGTTCCTCCCATTTTTGCTGATTGTTGTCTGTTGTTGTTTCTGCTGTTGTTGTTTGCTAGGAATCTTCATCACCTCTGTTTTCTCTATGTTCACCTGAAGTCCTATCTTCTCTGGATGTTTCTTCCGCCAACTTGTTGCTTTTCACTTGCGTATCTTCTGCTCCAAAGTCTGCTCCTCTTCTTACTTTTGTGTCTAGTAGGCTGCGCCTCCACTTCCTTCAGATTGAGATGAAGTCAATTTGGTTTTTGGTTCGCCCATCTGGTGACATCCATATCGCCATCTGGATATCTTTGTGTTTGTATACGCTGCCATCAGTAACTAATTCATTGAAGGCGCAGAAGTCGGCGAAGAGTTCTCCATTTTCATTCATTCCTCCAAGAGCTTCTCCACCCATGATGAGTTCTCTTCCTCTGTTGTCTGGTCCCATTTTGATGTTCATGTCTCCCATTAATGTTTTGATGTCACCAGCTGGAGTATTGTCCATTGTTGCATGTAGTTGTCTGTAGAATTCTTCTTTCTTTTCCAGGTCTGTGTTGTTTGTGGGTGCACAGCATTGTATAACTGACACTTTCCTTCCTTTGGAGTTGAATCTGGCGGTCATTATCCTGGGCGAGATCGCCTCCCATTGCATCAGGGCTTTCGTTGCCGTTGGTGACATCATGATATCCACAACCTCGGTGTGCATGTGGTTGTCTTCTGGGTGACCGGAGTAGATCACTGACTCTTCCATTGACATTTTGGTGAGTCCATTCCCATTCCATCTGCTTTCACATATTCCCAGTACTTGAATTACGTAGCTTTTCATCTCGTTTGTGATCTGGGCACCTTTGCCAATCTCGTACAGAGTGAGGACGTTTCATGTTCCCACACAGAATTTTCTTTTGGCGTTTAAGAAGCATAATTTATGCAAACATCTCTCTTCTGCTCGAATTAGCATCAAGAAAGTGTGATTCGCCACCACATTCTTCGTTACAAGTGGATTTAAGTCAAATTGTACGAGCATTTCGTATCGGGAACAATTCTGATGCACAAATTTATTATTATTGGCTGTAAAATCTTAAGTGTAAAGCCAAGCACATTAAAGTAATGCCTAATGAATACCTGGTATGATTGTTTAACAATCTTTCTATCACCTTTAAGATCGCTGTCTATCGTACTGCGGGCCAGCTTCATCTTAAACATAAGAGAAGAATTATCACGCTGATGTCAGAACTTATAAGCTTGTAAGTCGAAAGGCCTGGGTAGTTTCACTTTGCGGAATTTTTTGGTAGAAGTTTGTAGATACCTTAATAACACATCTAGATTTATTTCAAACCTAACATTTTCTTAGAAATCTGACTGTGAATCAGGTTGCAAGAATATTCCCGCGTCTTAAACCATCATATCAACCAACATTCTAATGAGTGAGTCACGAAAATCTTCAGCAGTCTTCAAGTTAATAAGTGGTTCACCATGATGGCTTCCAGCAACACACACTCTTTGATAAGCCCATTTTTAGGTTTTAAACCCGTGTTGACTATTAAATTTCGCTTGCACTCGAATGCTCCGATTTGCCTTTGACGGCTACGCGTCTCCTCTAAAATAAATGTTATCAAGATTCCTTGGATTTAAATGTCTGTCATAGTAGTCTCTTCAAAATCTTTTGCATAGAGGGTTTTTCAGTTATTCGAATATTCTCTGTGCACATTTTCAGCCGATGAGGGCTTTTTCTTATTACTGGTTGCTGCCGTTGGGACGATTTCGCTTGTGCATCGCTTGACGAAACCATTCACACCCCCTATGTCAAATGGCCGGGTTATTAACCGCTTACAACGCCATCTAGCATTATTGCTGTTGCCGGAAGAAAGCCCCCTGGAACTAAGAGTGACATTTAGTCACGTTATAACCAACTGGACTTCAGTGCAAATGATGATAGAATACGGATAGGAAGATTTATTGCTAGATGAAAAACAACCAGTATG